GAGGAGGAGGAGGAGGAGGAGGAAAAGAAGAAGAAGAAGAAGCCTGCCACTCATGCTCATTTCTGTTGGGAGTTACAGTCGAATCTGCTTCATTAAAAAGAAGAAAGTAACCAAGAAAAGGAAATGCACAGTGTTATAAAGCCAGGAAATACATAATGTTAAAAAGCCATAATGTGCTAATACTAATCAATTGTGAATGAAACAAATGCTTGCTGTCATGGAGTTTACATTGTAGTGGTAGGAACACGAAATAAACAGATGAAAAAATAAGGCTGGGGAGATAGCTCAGCGGTCTAAGCACCTGCCTGGAAAATGCAAGGACTCTCATGTTTGATCCCCACTACTGCATGCTGTGCAGACTCCAGAATCCCAGGCACACCCAGCATGGTAGTGCACACCTGTAATCCCAGTGCTGAGGAGGCTGAGACAGGAGGACCACTATGAGTCTGAGCTGTGTAGTGAGAGCCTGTATCAAATAAATAAATAAATAAATAATAAATACAAGATGTGTCAGCTGGGGCAAAGTGCTGTTAAATGACTGTGCAATAAAAGATAGGCTAGGTAGTGTGGGCTTAATACAGGGTACTTTGAGAAGGCCTCATAGGTCAAAATTATTGGAACAGAGACCTGAATAAAGTAAAGGCATGAGCCAGGCAGCCATTAGTCAGAGATACAAAACCTTCCAGAGAGATACAAAAGTACATGAAGGTTGGATGTGGGAGCATTTCATAATATTCAAGGAACAGAAAAGGAGTTTGGGTGCTGGATCCCAACCAGCAGAGAGGAGGGGGATTTGCAAAAAGCCAAATAGGATCTGGGTGTGGTTGCATATGCCTGAGATCCAAGCACTCTAGCAGGCTAAGGTTGGAGAATCACCAAATTTGAGCACCACCTGGGCAATTTAGCAATTTGGCAAGGCCCTGTGTAAAAAAAGGTACAAGTGGGGGGTGGAGATGTAGTTCAGTGGGAAGGCCTTGAGTTCAATCCTCAGGGAGGAGAGAGAGGAAGAGAGAGAGGGAGATAGATAGATAGATAGATAGATAGATAGATAGATAGATAGATAGATAGATAGACATGGAGGGAGGGAGAGAGAGAACACATCAATAACAAGAGAAAGAAACAGATGGGTAGAAAAAAGAAGGGCAGGAGACACTGTTGGGCTGGGTGGGATATTTTCAGGCTTTGGAACTTTTCTCTGAATGAGGTTAGACATTAAAAAATGTTTAATGAAAACAGAATGATCTAATTAAGTTTTTTTGTGAGTGGTGGTTATATATAAATCTTGGTTAAGAATATTCTCATATTTGTCACTCACAGTCATGGACCTCATTTGTTTTCTTTGATGGTGAAAGATAATACTGAGCACACATTTCTAACCATCTGAGATTAGCCACACCCAGGGCAGGCAGCCCTGACCTCTCACCTGGAGTCCCTCAGTGCCTCTGACAGAGAATGTAACTATGCAGGACCACTCATTCACTTAAGAGTCTTCATAGTGGCTTGTGTCATGACTCTGGTCTCTTTGAGCTATGTGCTGCTTTGCACTTCACTTTTGCTGTGTATTCTCCTTTGCCATATGCAATAACCACTTACTCAAAAGCATTTATCCTACCTGTGATCTTGAGGTATGTAGCATTGGCTTACAGTCTCTTAAAACAGGTTTTAGAATTATTTTAGCAGTCTATGGTGACCATGTCCTATCAATAACACTGAGAAGCTGCCTGAGATACAGTTGCGTAGATGGTAATATTGTGATCTAGCTTTCCAATGACAGTTCAGGGGTCCATAATAGAGCACAATACTATGCCTACCCACACAGAACACTTACGATCACATGCTCATTGTTGCAGGATGGATGAGCTTCCAGCCTCAAGTTGTTGAAAGTCAGAGTGATCTGCCGGACTTCTTGCACAGTGATTCTCCACTCGCAGACCCGGCTGTGAGGATTTGGGTTCGGGTAGTTGGGAGAAGTAAACGTCCCAGCATGGCCCTGTAGATCCCCACCACACGCTGAAAGTGGGGAAGAACAGGAAAAGTTCCAGTCAATAAAATGATCCCCTTCATAAGGAAATTAATATTTAATTCTCCCGCTAGATGAAATTATTGTCCTTATTTATCACTATATGCTTGTGAACATTTTTAGAGACCATTTTTTATTTTTTACCTCTATTAATATTTAATCTTTGCTTCCATGGACAATATTTCACTAGGTTGCATTTTAATTCTCATCAAGGCCCAAGATATATAAAAGACATATACAGTGAATTTAAGACAGCTAAAGTAATTACTCAAGTTTTCTGGACAAGATCTCTACTTTGCCTGCGATTGTCAGGGTATTTGGGAATATGAAGTCTGAGTAACCCTAGAACTAAGAGACTAATTTTCTTAGGATGCCTACCTGAGTGCAGTCCTCATCTCTCTCTCTCTCTCTCTCTCTCTCTCTCTCTCTCTCTCTCTCTCTCTGTCTCTGTCTCTGTCTCTCTGTCTCTCTCTCTCTCTGTCTCTCCTCT